ATTGCATGGATTTAGGTCTTTCCTTTCCTTTTTTTGATAAGGTTGGCTCAGGGTTTGTCAATTTTGTTTATTCTGTCAAAGAACCAACTCTTTGCTTCACTGATTTTTTTGTATTATTCTCTTAGCCTCCATTCCTTTAGGGGTTCAAATACTTCACTCCAAGCTCTTCTTGCCTTGAGGGTTTGTTGAGAAGTCTGTTCTAATTCTGATGGGCTTTCCTTTGTATGTGATTTGTTTCTTTTCTCTAACTGCTTTTAATATTTTGTTCTTTTGTTGGGTTTCTGGAATCTTAACTATTATATATCTAGGAGTAGATTGTTTTTGACCATGGCTTGTTGGAGTCCTATATGCCTCACTTATCTGTATGTCAAATTCTACTCCCCATGGTTGGGAAGTTTTCTGCCATTACTTCTGTGAACAGTTTTTTTTTTTATGTCGTTTAAACTTTCTCCTGTTTCTTCATTGACTCCAATCAGTCTTATTTTATTTTTCTTTGTATCATCTAGCTGTTGCTGGATTGATTTCTCATGATCTCTTACTATTTTAAAAAAATTTTTCTTTTCTTAGTCACTAATTGCAATCCTGTCTTCTATATCTGATATTGTGTCCTCACATTGGCTCATTCTGCTGCGTAAACTTTCGGTAGAGTTTTTAATCTCCTGGATATTTGTTTGCATCTGTTTTATGGATTCCATTTGTTTCCTATGTTGTGATTCCATCATGTTCCTCAGCTACTCTATTGTTTTATTTGTGTCTCCTTTAGAGTTATTAATCATTTCTTGGATTATGGACACAATCTCTGCTGCTATGTGAGAAATTATTTCTGATTTCATTGTTTCCAGATCCTTTTTCTTTGCCAGTTCAGGTAGCCCAGGTGGTTGAGTATCAGATTGTTCCATCTCCTTGCCCATTAGGGTTGCCTTAGGTGATCTGGAAGTCTGGTTTTGAGACTTGTTTTCGTGTCTTCTCATTTCAACAAATGCAGCCTGCTGTGCCTTTGTTGAGGTGACTTTTTGCTCACCCAATTGTCTTCAATTCTCAACAAACCATGGAGAGGCCTTTTCTCTGCTGCTCACCACTGCACCAATTCCTAGGTTCACAATGGTGGCCTTCTGGATTCCTGCACTGCCCTGTTGTCCAGGCGGGGTTCTGTCTGGGGCCTGTGCAGAGTTGGGATGGTATCTGGACTTGCCTCTGGCTGGGGCCTGCCCCCCTATGTAGCCATTATCTGGGAGGGCCTTTGGCAGGGGGCTCTGCACCTGAGTTGCTTGTGTCTGATCAGGCCTCTGGCTGGGGTCTGCATGCACTTACCAGGGTATCTGGGAAGGCTTCTGGCTGTTGCTTTTGTGCCTGTGTAGCTCTTTTCCAAGTGGGTCTTTGGCTTGGTCCTGTGGGCCAAAGCTGCTGAGGTCTGGGTGGGGCCCTGGCTCTGACCCGCCCACACCTGTGCATCTCTGGTCCACACTGGTTTCTTGCTGGGATCTTGCTTAAACCATTTATTATCTATCTCTTTACAGAAAAAGCTTGTCAACCTCTACTCTAGGGACATAGAGAGTGCCCTGGAAAGTACAAGGGGCCTGTGGAAGAAGGGTGCTTAGCATGTTTAAGCATTGCTAAGGTGGCCAATATGATGGAGAGAGAAGGGACAAGAGGGCGCAGTAGGTCATGTGGCACGACAGGTCATGTGGCACGACAGATCATGTGGCCACAGTGAGGAATTGGCTTGTTCTCTAAGTAAGATGGGGAGCCATTGGAGTTTAAAGCAGAGTGACCCAATCTGACTTTATCTTACAAGATATTCTATGTCTGCTGTCATTCTTTTATTTATTCTCTCTTCCTCACTTCCCTGCCCCTAAACATTTTCCCTTAAGAAGTAGGTGTAGTTTAAGAAATGATTATCCATTGAATTTGATAAACTCCTGGTTAGTCACAATCCTTGTTGATGAAGGGTCTTCTTGCCCCTGGTTCCATCATTTTTGAGGAACTGGAGCCTTGAATGATGCTTCAGTCTGTGTGAGGATTGATCAATCTGTCCATTCCATGAGCAATCCTGGACCCTACCATAAGAAGGCCAGTGCCATGCACACTTTATAATGAATACCCCAGGCCTTTGCTCTCTCCTCTGAAGATGTGGTCACTTATTTATGGATCAGTTGTGCCAGAGTGATAATATACTTCCTAAATGCTGGCTCATAGTCAAGAAACAACTAATACACTCCACCTTCAGGTTTGGGGAAATATATTGCTTGTTATTTTAAAAATGCATTCACAGCAACATAGGAGGATTGTGTCTTCCCTCATGTGGGAACAGGTGAGACAAAGTGAAGGTCATTTTACTCCTAAAAAATCAAATAAGCACTTTAAACATTGAATTCTGTCAGTCATTTTTTTCAACTCCAATATCTTTTGGGCCATACAATCACAGAAAATATTGAATCTCTTTTTAGATGTTCTTAGTACTGTATTCAAAATTTTGAGCTATTTCTCTTAAACATTTTTGATATAAATATTCTATTGTATGCCATCTTTCCCAGTTTGTTTCATATTCTATGAAGGTGCATCAATAGTACCATTTCATTTTACTTTCCAGGCTTTTCTTTTCTTACACAGTGTAGATATAGTGAAAGTACATAGTCTGAGAAGTTTAGAAACTCATTTTGCTCAATGTTTAACCTCTAATATGGTAGGTGAGTTTTAGAAAGGAATTTAATTCATAAGGATTCTATTTATTGATTCAAGGGTTAATATTGACTTTTTCATGATCTGGCCACATTAGAATCAAATGCTACTGTAGACAGTAAACATGTTGATAGTCCGAAACCAGTATGAGGTTGTCATACACTCTTTAGTTCTTTTATTTTGTGATGTATAAAGAATATATACTGTTTGAATCATTCAAATTGTACTTTAAAAAGAAAAAAAAAGTGTTGAAAGTAAGTAAAAGTTTAAAGCTGAGGTTGAAAGATTTAAAAGAACTGTATCTGGAATACATGTTTTAGATTCAACCAACAAATTGGCATCAGGTTTAAACTAGGAAATGCATAATCCTAAATGAAAAATAAAGTTCTGAATAGATTTGTTTCTTTCTCAAAGCTGTGAATCATATGTGATGGAATTTTATGCTGTGTTTTGGTTATAACCTTGTTACTTGATATTAATGGAGTGAGTGGAATGTAAAATGATATTCATTTAATCTTTACTGGAAATTTTGCAGAATTTGGCAGTTCTGTTCATTGGCATAGATGAGGAGCTTAACGCTAACATTGTTTGGGAGGATTTTAAAAAATCTGCAGCTGGTCTGGTTTGTAGTGTCTCTTTAAGGCCAAAGTATTTGAGAATGCCATGGTCTCAGGCATAAGTAATTTTGATGTATTCTTTAAACCAGATGGTAGAAATTGAAAAGCATTTAAAAAATAAATCCCCCAGTAATCCATTGTCTGAAAAATGGTGGCAGTAGATGGTTACCTTGTGTAATTTCTGCATTGGGATAAATTTAACATTTTGTCAGTAGGTACACCATAGCTCCTTCACCAAGGTTTTCCTAGTGGTAATACTAATATCCATTGTGCATTTAAGCTTAGGCAGGCATGGTGGAGAGCTCATGAAAACATATTCAAGGTTAAGAAAAATAGTTAATAAGTTATTTTCTCCAAGCCGTGATTTTACTCTTGAACTATTTTCCTATTGTGCAAGAAAACTGTTCTAAATAAAATCTCTAGTAATATTATAGAGGAACTAACTCTTTACCTAGTATATGTCATGTGCAAATATCTTCCCTGAGATTTTATCCTATTTATATAACCCAAATTGATGCATTTACGAGGTCTTTTCACTAAAGGTGGACTTGAGTAGTTGGTACATACATTTTTCTATTTTCTAATGGGGAGAAAGCCCTGCCCCCAAAATTATATGATACAAATATTGATTAAATATGACCATTAACCTTAGGATTTTCTCCCTAAAGTGCCCCTCCACTCTGATATATGCAATATCAGGGTTTTTCCTAAGACACTTCCAGAGTTAGACCCATTTTGGGGGAGGCATTTTAACCTCAATTTTATTTTTTTTGCAGTGGGAATAAGAGAATTGAGACTTCCCTTGTTGAGATAGGAGTCAGCAATAGGACAAAAACAATGTTTTAGGAATGATGCAAAAAGCATGCCATTAAACTTGTCAAGGCTAGACCTTCTAAAGCTTCTTGTTCAGAAGATAACCAATACTATTCATAATGATTACTCTATTATTATCTGTTATTTATTGATAATTCATTATATGTTGGGTATGGTGCTAATGGCTTTGCCTGCATTTTTCTAAGGTAGTCCTCTTAAAACTCTATAAAATAGCAACTATTCAGAGAAGTCAGGTACTTTATCCAAAATCATACTGTTGATAGGTGGATGAACTATTCTTTTTCTCCAAAATACATACTTCTAAACATTCTATAATATTCTTCTCCATGAAAATTACTTACATTACTTCAGGATTTGTGTAAATTTAGAAGGCCATAAACATTGCCTTATGAATCCACATCTTTCTGATAATATTATGATGGATGTCTTTAGCTAAGGAAAATCTATAAGAGTTAAGATAAGTTATCTCTATTTATTTCACTGGGGATCTCAGAATTTTTTTCATCATGGAGCCCCATTGCCAACTCATTTACAGTGGGTAGCTGGACCAGTTGATCTTGTAAGTTTCTTTTCACCTTAAGATTTTACTGTTTCTCGGTGCTGTGGGAATTTTTCCATGTCTCATATAAAGCACTCAGTTCTAGATTCTGCTCACAATGTCTACTGTTGCTACTATTTTTATATTTCTATAATGAGAATAGCATAGCTTTCCTTTCTTAATGTGATTACTATAACCATCAATAACAAAAAAGCTGTATAGGTGTGTCTCAGAAATTTATGAGGAATACCAGATACAAAAATACAAGTTATCATTGTCATCTAAAAGATTTACATTGAAGTACAAAAATGGAAACTCTAAAGAAGTTTGTGGCACACTTAGCTTTATTGAAATTGAACAAATGCTTTTTTAAATAACTGCTTTTACAGCACATGTAAAATTTGATTTTTTTCTTATATTTTTACAGATTGTATTTTATCTTAGTAAGCAAAAATACGTCTTTTATTTTCCTACTTAAAACGTGTAGCCAGAATTTAAACCACGTAGCTCTGGTACCAAACGGGTTATGAAAGTCACAGTACAATTTTAAAATTCCTTAAGTTAATCAAGGATATTTAAAATGATATTCACTTAGATTGACAGTAGAAATCATGAGTCAGTCAACATTAGGACTAGAAGTTACGTCTACAATTAGAGCAGAAATGGGAAATTCAAGCTAATCTGAACCACACCATTCAGGACACACCATCTCCATAAATACGATTGCTGAGTGGCTGCAATGGCTAAGTCACACTTGGGCACTTCAAGTCACACATAAACATAGCAAAAAAAAATTATCTATATATATGCATATATATAGTGCACTGACTTGGATCTAAAATAAAATGATCATTTATTTTACGAGGGTATATTATTTGATAGTATCAAATAATTACACAATACACAATTTAAACCCCAAAATTACACCTAGGAAAGAAAAATAATATCAAAGTGCACACCTACATAGACAGTAAAGTAGAAATCTGTTCTTTGTCATTGGTGTTTTTTGTTGTTTTCTGGATACTTAGAAATACTTTACTACTCACAAAAGGATTCCTTGGATGAAACACTAATTACAGACTTTGTAAGGAACATAGCTTAGGAGGCTTGTTTTAAAAACGAGGCAGCATTTTCCTGTGAAAGATTAGTCCTCAACTCACTACAGACTAGTCACTATGTCAGATGGCAAGCGTTTCAGGGTGTGTGTGCGTGTATGTTTTAAGCTTACTTTTCAGTACCAGAATTAGTCAAAACCAAACCAAACCAAAAGATAATCAGCCCTTGAGAACTTGACCCTGCATATCATGTCTGATTGATGTGCCATCTTAAAGAACAGTGCTACAGACTATAGATGGGAATTATGCTCATGTGATTCTGCAACATCTTACTTTTGTGCAAACAGTTTTCTTCATTGCCCACACAACTTTTTTCATGTAGGTGCCAGGAAGCCCACCCTCATGGTCCTCCCTCCCCCCTCCCTCAGTCTTTTCCTCTGTCAAAATGATATAAAGACAATTTCACTGTGTATTTACAAGCACAACACTTGGGCAAGAAGGTCCCAGCATCCGTAGGGCACATCTATTTCTTGTGGACATCTTCATGCCGAATGATCTTGTATGTGATCCAGTAAAAGATGTTGAATATGAGGAAGGCCAATGGGAAGGCAGCGCGAGATATTGTGTCAATCCTTTTTGCCCGGTCCACAAACTTCTTCTTGATGACATCTGCATCTTTTGGGGGTTGTGGAGGTGGGTTGGCAGGTGTGGCCTTGACAGCTGTTCCCTCTTTCACTTGGACGCAGTGACCCATCCCATAACCACTAAAATTAAAACGACTTTCACGAGTCACATCTTCTTCCTGGGAAAACAGACATAGGAAGCACAAATTACTTGTCAATCAAGTTCAATAGAAGATGTTTAAAATTCTTCAGAAGTAAAAGGATAAATCACAGTTAACTATTAATGTGGGAGACTTTTGGACTGGGGAGTTCCTTTTCCAGTTCAACTCAGTTTCTCATGGAACAGATATAGTTCATTAACATCTCAGCCTGATAAGTTAGCGGTAAGAATAATGACTTTGTGGTCATTTTAATTAATTACCAAATATAAACACTATGCCATATTTTAGTATTGACTTCCCCAAAATCTAGTTTATTAATCCATAAATTTGAACAGACTGTTTTGCAGCTAGTTGTCCAAATTCCAATATTACACTACAAATCAATGAGGATTATTCATTTATTTGTTCATTCTTTCATTCATTAAAAAAAATTACTGAGCCTCTCCTATGAACCTGGCTCTGAGTTAGGAACTTTTAGTATGATGGCCCATCTACAGCCAACTTTCTCCATTAACTTTGGCTTTAATAATGTTAGATCTAAGATGAGAACCTCACATATACACCCCTTCCCCCCTCCAGCACTCTGGTTCATTTCAGTTATATAGCAGAGATTAAATATTCATTATTTGGCATTAATATTTCTACCATGGCCACTTTTTCCAGTGTTGATTTTTAATGTTGATTCTTTGGCCAGTGAATCATCTCTATCATATTTAAACATATATCACTTCAGCTGATGTCAGCAATGTTTTGTTTTGATTATTTCTTCATTAATTAGATAAAAGACTCAAAATTGTATTTATTTCTTGGTGTAAAGAGCAAATAGCCTTAGAGACAAATATATGGGACTTGGGTGTATGATTGCGTTAAAAGGGGGAATCAAATAGGGGGTTGAAAAGCTGGGATTGCAATGCCCTGCTTAATACTAACTTAGCCCTAGATAGCTATTGATTGGATCAGTTGTAACTAGATTACTGCCTTTGACAGTAGTATGCAAGCCCTGCAGTACTCTTTTATCTTGTGAGATAATAATAATTGTTAAGAGATAGTTAGAGATCTTCAGGGACAAAGGGCAGGTGCACTGCTGAGCCCCAACTCAGGACCTGTTTACCCACTGAAAGTATGGTATGTACTCTTCCCTACCCCATCACTCTTTCAGACAATCCTATTGACCCCAATAACCAACCAGGATGCCTTTGCCATAGTATCTCCAAGAATAAACTTGATGAGAAAGTAAAACTACTGGGGATCATTGCAGAGAGACAGAGGAGAAACAGGCTCATGGGCCCTTAATCTGTTACTCATTAAAAGCATGATTTGTTTTCCCTCTGAGGCAGAGACTTAAAGCTGCTTTTGCTAAACAAAACAAACAAACAAATAACTCCACTTCGATCTACAGATGCACGGTAAGTAAAAACTGAATAAAACTTGACATCTCTGTCTTTATTTTGTATCTATCTCTCTTATTACCTTAAAACTTTGGGTCAGACCCTTGCTCAGCTCTGCATATAGGCTTGTTAATCACTAAAGGAGTGTCTGTTTAAAAATTGTTACAAGGTTTATTAGTCCTAAATTTATCTAACCTGTCTCACTTCCTATGAGACTAAGGACATCAAGATAAGAGATTTTCAAGGATATTCAGCTACCAGAGTTTATGAAATTTTGCTCCAGACCCCCTGGAATAGGTACCTAAAAGTCTCCAGTCATTGCATTAAACCTATGGTCACTTTGGATTCTAGTAATGCCTCCACAAGACTGAGACTAACCTCCTTCCCCTAAATAGGAATGATCATTTCTGGGTACTGAATCGCCCCTCAAGCCCTAAGAATTTATCCAGAGCTGTAAAACCAGAACTGAGATAATGATGAACTAGACCCTAGCCCAACACAGCATCCTATAAAACTGATCCCCTTTCTTTTGTTAACGGGCCAGTTTGGTTTTCTTTGTCAGGACCATGCCCTCTTCAGCTCCTCAAGCCAGTCTTTTAGCATTTTTATCTTACTTTCCAATTAAAGCTTTTGTCTATAAATCCATGCTGTTGCCTTGGCTTTAATTTCCATTATCATTGACGCAAGAACTTGGGCTACATGGTGACAGTTATGTTTCCCAAAATACAAGAAACTTTATATGAATTGTATTTCCTCAATGTTAAGTGCATGTTGGTAGTGCCTTCAGCCATATACAAAAGCCATACCAAATGGAGAACTTTTATCATAATATGAATCAGAGTTTAGCTGTAACCCAAAAGGTGTGGAAAGGACGAACTGTACCTTATGTATTGAAATGAGTTTTGTAAGCTCAACAGAATATCCTAGGATAGGTAAGGAAGGTGAGAAGAGACCAGTTGATTAAACTTCATTGGGTATAAACTTGGGAGTGAGAGAGCATATGGCTTAAAGAGAAGTGCAAGGATTTCAGAATGGTTTGATTATAGTATATGTGCTCAGATGGGTGACTGCATAACCCAAGAGGAGAACAGATTGGCTTCCTTGTGATTCATTTAGCTAGATTAGTACCCAGGTGCCACTTCCTTCTGTGCGAAGTACATGAAGCCTGAAAGTGATGAAGAAAGTTCAACAGGGTCCTTGGGGCCCTTGGTTAATCAACACTGTCACTGTGGTACAGTATTTCTGGTGAGGCCAGCCCTAAACGTGGCTGAATGTTGAATTGCAACTTGGCAGTGACTTGGAATTTGAGCTGGTGGGATAACAGCTGTGAATAATTGCTAAACACTCTGTGTCAGTCTTTGCCATGTAGATCTGGTCTCTAGGAAAATCAGGCTAAAAAACAGAAGGCTCATTTACTTGATATATTAGTAATTCTTATTAATGAGTGCATCTAGTGTAACCAATAAAAGACATTAATTATAACCTTTAATCAACTCATTTATAATCACAAAATTCAGGCCAAAGCTCTTGTAAAAAATAACTGTGAAACTACTACCCTATAAAGCTACGTCTGCAGTACTTTCATTTATGTGGCATTGTCCTACACAAGTTGGTTCAAGGCACGTTCTCATTTCTTAATTAAATGTAATAAAGGATTTTTCCTTCAGCATTTCATTGTTGAGTGTTGACTCTAGGACAAACATTGTGCCAGATTCTAGGAGATAGTTGATGAAGTTGAACCAGCTCTCTACCTGCATGGAATTATCAGAATTCAGTAGAAGAAGCTAATAAAGGCTAAAATTATATCAAGAAGCTGACAAAGAGTATTCAGTCTGGCATTTGGGTATTTCCATCCATGCAGCTATGTAAACTCAATTATGAAGGCTTAAATTGGACTCAGATTCAAATATTAAATCTCTTTTCTTTTCCTTAAAATGTAAATGATGTATTTTATGGACACAAAAGTTTCAAATAAGGGAAGTTTTTAAAACTCTGCAATTAATGGGTATATTAATCATTACAGTATTATCATAACCATTTAAATACCTATTTAGTAATTAGCAAGAAAGGAAGCACACTGGTTTTAAGGAGAAAGGCACTTGCTTTCACTTGGGTTATAGACAGCCTTGAACTTTCTAACTACTATAAATTGGTAATTAGGTCCCAACCAGTGTGTAAGTGAAGTAGAAATGGTGTCAGTTTGTTTAGTAAAGACAGATCTAGACTGGCTGATAAGCTCTATTGACCTTAGGGAAACTACTTTCAGGGACTTCATACCAAAAATGTCAAGGGTGTCCTAGAGCTGTGGATTTCAGCTTTGGTTGCTGGAGACATTTAAAAAAATATATGTATGTTGATCCTTTCTCCCAGCCCCTTTCAGATCAACTGAATCAGAATCAGAGATGAGAATTTAAGATCTGTATTTTTAAAAATCTAGTGCCTCTGATGTAAAAAGTTGGAAACTAGTGGCCTTGATGAGTTCTAATGTCCACCTCTAAAATGAAAACCTATTCTATATTATTAAGTTTAAAATTACTTTTTAAATGGAAACAGCCCCTCAAAGTATGTTGCCCTTACTGTCTAAATTTATTGTGTATTTTTCTTTCCTTGTTGTAGAATCTTGCAAATTGCTGTTCACTTCTAAAAACATTTAGAAACTCATGACTAAGTATATAGTTCATTGCTTCAATGAGATAATTTTTTAAACTGAGCATCTAAGGGAATAAAAAAGGTAGTTAGCTAGTAACCTGTTTTTAGCACATGAAACAAAAGAAAACATAAGTATACACATTCACGTTTCTTTCTAGACTGACTCGTTCATTTAATTTCTATAGCCTTTTCCTATGTACTGTGATTGGACAGCTGAAGAGATTAACTCATTCAGTTAAACTACCAGAGCTAAGTAGAAGGATGCTATATGTACACTGTCATGTAAACTGTGTATATTTAATAAATATTTGCTTAATAATGAATAATATAATTTTAAGAGGGCTTCCTCAATACTGGAATATACTTATTCATTCAACAGTATTTCAAATTATGCTTCTAAGCATAGTTACAGTTAATTAAATCAATTATTTAAAATTCTCCACTACAAAAGTAAATCTGTTGTAGGTAGGAATTATCCATTTAATTTTTTAATATGTAGGATATAAGAATGCTCGTTTAAGGGTCTTATTATTTACCATCATGACTCAGTCAATGCCTTTTAAATATAGAAGTTTAAATTATTCACATTAACAGGTGTAGTTTTGATTCAAAAAACATAACTGCAACAAATATGAAAACGTTATGTTATATTGAATGGCTAGTTGCCTTTCTAGCAGGTTAAGAATAAAATGTTATATTAGTATGGTAAGATTCCCATATGAGGGCAAAATGGAGATGAGCTTGAGTCATGGGAAAACTGAAGCTAAAATAAAAGAGCAATCTGAAGGCACAACTTAGTTGAGCATATTCACAGGAAAAGTCAGACTCTGCCAGTAAGGAAAGAATTTTAGGCATATATTCTCCATTTTTCTAATTAGATAGGAATCCAATTAGTTTATTATTGCTGCTGATTCACCAAACTCATAACTGAGCAGTATACACTTCTAACTGACCCTATTTCATTATTCAATGATTGAATTC